CCCTTAAAAATGGGATACCGGCCCACTTTCAGTGGCCTGAGCCTGTCTTCATCCTCAAGGGTTGAAGAAGCCGCTGATGTTGGCGAACAAGGATGCAATGACAAAGACAGTGATTCCGATAATGTACGTGTCAGGAGTCATGTCGCCCAGAGCGCCGTCTGCACCACCTCGTGCCTCCATCTGAACTGCTGGCGCGCGGAGGGACTTGCTTGCAGGTGGAGTTGTGCCCACGAAGCAAAGCATCGCAGAGCAGCTAAGGGCCAACACCAAGAAGGCGAGCAGAGAGCTGGAGCGGGCCATTGCAAGTCTTGGGGGAAAGCCGGCACAGGCACAGGAGCAGGAGCGACCTCCAACAACTATAGACAGCTCAACCTGAAATGGCCGCCGAGTCGTGCATGTCTGCAACTGTTCCGATCACTGCATGACTGCACTGGCCAACACCAAACACAGCATGACGCTGCCGATTCCATTTTCGAGTCTTTCAGCACGCCTGCAGCGTGGCTGCTTCCCTAGTCAGGGATGCCGCTGCTAGCTCTAAGAAGCAATGATCCCCTTAAAATGGGATACCGGCCCACTTTCAGTGGCCTGAGCCTGTCTTCATCCTCAAGGGTTGAAGAAGCCGCTGATGTTGGCGAACAAGGATGCAATGCCAAAGACAGTGATTCCGATAATGTACGTGTCAGGAGTCATGTCGCCCAGAGCGCCGTCTGCACCACCTCGTGCCTCCATCTGAACTGCTGGCGCGCGGAGGGACTTGCTTGCAGGTGGAGTTGTGCCCACGAAGCAAAGCATCGCAGAGCAGCCAAGGGCCAACACCAAGAAGGCGAGCAGAGAGCTGGAGCGGGCCATTGCAAGTCTTGGGGGAAAGCCGGCACAGGCACAGGAGCAGGAGCGACCTCCAACAACTATAGACAGCTCAACCTGAAATCCGCCGAGTCGTGCATGTCTGCAACTGTTCCGATCACTGCATGACTGCACTGGCCAACACCAAACACAGCATGACGCTGCCGATTCCATTTTCGAGTCTTTCAGCACGCCTGCAGCGTGGCTGCTTCCCTAGTCAGGGATGCCGCTGCTAGCTCTAAGAAGCAATGATCCCCTTAAAATGGGATACCGGCCCACTTTCAGTGGCCTGAGCCTGTCTTCATCCTCAAGGGTTGAAGAAGCCGCTGATGTTGGCGAACAAGGATGCAATGCCAAACACAGTAATTCCGATAATGTAGGTGTCCGGAGTCATGTCGCCCAGTGCGCCGTCAGCGCCACCTCGTGCCTCCATCTGAACTGCTGGCGCGCGGAGAGACTTGCTTGCAGGTGCTGGAGTTGTGCCCACGAAGCAAAGCATCGCAGAGCAGCCAAGGGCCAACACCAAGAAGGCGAGCAAAGAGCTGGAGCGGGCCATTGCAAATCTTGGGAAAGCTGGCACAGGAGAAGGAGCGACCACCAACAACTATATGCGGCTTAAGCTGAAAGTAGCCGACGCGTGGGCATGCCCGTAGCTGCTGCGATCACTGCATGACTGCGCCTACTGGCCAACACATGCCAACTCCAAGTACAGAATGATGATCCCTATGCCTTTTTCGAGTCGCTCAGCACGCCTGCAGCGTAGCTCCTTCCCTCGTTTGTCAGGGATGCCGCTGCGACTTCTAAGAAGCAATGATCCCCTTAAAATGTGGGAACGGCCCACGTTCAGTGGACTCAGTGGACTGAGCCTGTCTTCATCCTCAAGGGTTGAAGAAGCCGCTGATGTTGGCGAACAAGGATGCAATGCCAAAGACAGTGATTCCGATAATGTACGTGTCAGGAGTCATGTCGCCCAGAGCGCCGTCTGCACCACCTCGTGCCTCCATCTGAACTGCTGGCGCGCGGAGGGACTTGCTTGCAGGTGGAGTTGTGCCCACGAAGCAAAGCATCGCAGAGCAGCCAAGGGCCAACACCAAGAAGGCGAGCAGAGAGCTGGAGCGGGCCATTGCAAGTCTTGGGGGAAAGCCGGCACAGGCACAGGAGCAGGAGCGACCTCCAACAACTATAGACAGCTCAACCTGAAAATGGCCGCCGAGTCGTGCATGTCTGCAACTGTTCCGATCACTGCATGACTGCACTGGCCAACACCAAACACAGCATGACGCTGCCGATTCCATTTTCGAGTCTTTCAGCATGCCTGCAGCATAGCTGCTTCCCTAGTCAGGGATGCCGCTGCTAGCTCTAAGAAGCAGTGATCCCCTTAAAAATGGGATACCGGCCCACTTTCAGTGGCCTGAGCCTGTCTTCGTCCTCAAGGGTTGAAGAAGCCGCTGATGTTGGCGAACAAGGATGCAATGCCAAAGACAGTGATTCCGATAATGTACGTGTCAGGAGTCATGTCGCCCAGAGCGCCGTCTGCACCACCTCGTGCCTCCATCTGAACTGCTGGCGCGCGGAGGGACTTGCTTGCAGGTGGAGTTGTGCCCACGAAGCAAAGCATCGCAGAGCAGCCAAGGGCCAACACCAAGAAGGCGGGCAGAGAGCTGGAGCGGGCCATTGCAAGTCTTGGGGGAAAGCCGGCACAGGCACAGGAGCAGGAGCGACCTCCAACAACTGTAGACAGCTCAACCTGAAAATGGCCGCCGAGCGGACACGCCTACAGCAGCTGCGGCTGCCTTGCTGCAGAACTGGCTAACACCAACTTTATACAAGTCTTAGCATGGGAGCAATTGGTCAACTGTGCGCACCGAGTCGTCAGTCAGGCTCAATTGCCCCTCGCAGTTCTTTTGGACAATACATGGCACCGACCAGCTGCTATATGCTGAGCCAGGTGAGAAACGCCCTCTTGAAGAGTCTGTACAAGCTGGCCGAGGCACTCTACACAGCGGCTGTGGGACTGCAAGACGATGCCTGCAGAGCCGTACATCTTCAACCCTGAGCCTGCACCAACGCACCCCTAGATCCGAACTCCTAAAACCCCCAAGGTGATTTTCAAAAGCCGTGCTACAACTCTCAATCGGATCAACCGTCAACTCCTAAAACAACCCTTCAAGCCCCCTAACCCTTGAGCCCTAAACCATCTCCTAAGCCCCCCTTTTGTCACTCAGCGCACCGACACGCGCCGGCGCTTCACGGGGCTGGGGCCCTCCAGGAGTGCCCCCAAACCTCGTCTTTTGAGAGTTTTAAGGTGGGTTTCGGAGTTTAGACGATTGTTTGGCTGCGGCCTAGGAGATGGGGATGGAAGGCTTCCTTCGGATGTGATGGTCCTATCACCTCACTGAGGGGGTTCACGAAGATGCCAGGTATGAGGTTGAAACTTCAAGCGTTGACTCTACGAGGGCACGGGGGTTGCACTCCAAGCCAGCACCTGACAACGGGATTACGGCATCTGGATGAGCTTCGGAGTGCCAGTCATAAAAGAAACATGGCCGCTCATCCACCTGGGACTTGATCAGCTGGGACACTATCTGCATCGACAGCGGTCGCCCCGAGGACCTTGTGCCATTCTATCAGTTATCAGCGGTGCATGAAGTGCAACAGTGTATTCATTCAGTCAAAGTAGTTCAAAACTAGCAGCCTTTCTCGGACGTTTTGATCCCCGTGTCCAAGCTTGATGGCTCGTTGCGCTCATCTTGACACTTTACGTGTCTGACACCTAAAAAAAGGCTATGATGTCCGCTTGCCCACCAGTATGTCGAGACTTTCTGGTTTTATAAGGTTGCTACTAAGCTTTTTGTAGCTCCCTGGTGACCCGCTTTGGCTGTTCTGGCTTTGCTAGCAGTTGAACCGAGGCCCCAGCAGCCACACTCCAAAGCCTCTCGGGAGGCCGTCCCTCAGGGTCCCGGTCGCCTTCCATAGCAGCTATAGCCTGCTTCATCCTCTGACAGGTTGCTTACTGAAGGCTCACACTCCAGCCATACCATCCCAAATCCATCCTTCGGGGAGCAAGCGTTCCGAACCTGGAGGTGCTGCTGGCGGAGGCAGCGGTGGATCGTCAGCCGAGGGCGGCGACTGCGTGGACATGGCCTGATGCTCAGGTGATTTGCGTTGAGTTGCTCGATGCTGCTGAATATTGCTGAATCACGGTTTCTAGATTGAAACGGTCGCAGCTTCAGATTGAACGCTGCGACACGACGGGAAACGAACGGGACGCCACCGTCGAGCTACCAAACCCTACCACCCCCATTGCTTCTCTACCAGTAAGCCATAGTGAGCCAGAGATCCCGCATTTCGAACGCACATTGCACCTGGCTAGGTGCGGAGTCGACGACGACCTCGTGGCCCGGAGCTGGACCTGGCATATGCCACTGCAATCGTTACTTTGCGATTTGATGCTTTGAGATGAGAGCCTGACAACCCGATGTACACACATGTCGGGATTGCAGGCAGCTTGCAGCCCAATGTTCTATTTCAAGGGATCATGTCTGCAACCGCAGCTGACAGCGCGACATGCTAGAACCGCCCTATCCTAATTGCATCCTAATTGCACTGACCCCAGAAATGGGAACCCTTCACAATGAAACCATGCTCTTGAATCCTGGTCGAGTCCGGTGCAGTGTGCAGAAGCCTTCTCGCTCTGCCGCGGCGCGATCGACAGCAGCTACTGGAGCAGCGGTTGCGGCTGGCGGAGGCATGTCCTGACAACGAGGCTTGATTCACTCAGTGGAGCGACAGCTAGTGACAGCTCACCATGCTCAACCGTGAACTGACGCGTGGCATTCACCATGATTCACCATGATTCACCATGATGCACCAGTCGGATCTACGGCAACGACCACAAACGAATCTGGCGATTTTCAGCTGAGGTCCTAAGCCAGCACAAGCACACGAGCCAGCACAACACTTTGGGATTCCAATGCCGCCTCGGGGGCTTCACGGCCTTGCGATGCGTTGCCCGGCAATGGGGCAAATGCTTCTGGCAGGCCTGAGAGCCACCTGGGCCGGGAAATTGTTCGGAGCTGTCTACAGAGTCTGTGCCAAGGTCATGACACACCGGAAGACAAGAGCTTGCGACTTGATGAGGACAGGGAGCAGATTCAAGGACCCATGCATGTCAACACTGAATGTCGGTGTTCATCTGTGTTCATCATATGCTTCCAGACTCAAGGCATCTTGCTGCGAAGCTGTGCTCATGGGTCATCCACGCAATGCCAGCTGCTGTAGCCTAAAAAGATGACACCAGAACTATGTGCGATCCTGGGGCCACGGCTTTTGAGTACAATTTCGCACCGTTTCCGCGAAGCGTATGCAGGCCTTGACCAGCTCTGAACAATCATCATCACAGGTTCAGTACATGTTCCTTCGGTACCGAATTTGAGATTGAAAGACGGCCTCTGACCTGTTTGTGGTTCACTTTTTCGTGTACTTTGCCCACCCTGCTCAACATCCTTGAAGTGCTTACAAGTCAAGTATCCCTCCGTGGCCTCGCGCAGTTGGTCAGCACTTTCTGACGACTTCGCCTGATCGGATTCACCATAAGCATGGGACTCCAATTGGCTCACATGTTTGAGGCACGGATGCCAGGATGATGTGCAATGTGTGCCATTTGCGAAACTTCGAGTCGCTCATGTTGCAGGAGCAGTTGCAGGTATGCATGAAGCTTGGCCGACATTACTCTCGCAGGTGTTTGGTGCTTCAATCCTGCAGATCGGCCTTGCTGTCGACATACGGAAGAATCCGAAACAGGATACAGCAAGATCATTACCACGAACCCTCCCGAAACTTGAAGGTTATGGTTGTTCCCCCCAAAGTAACAAGCGCAAGTGGGAACTACCTCGCCGGAAGCCTTAGACCATGGTGGTGATTCGCAGAGTGTTGTGCTGCATCGACGATTCCTAATTCCTGGCAGCTCACTTTGCAGAGACACCTTCCTGGGTCTCCTCCTTCACGTTCAAAGGGCGTGTTGTGGTACCGTCCACGCGGTGCTTGTGTTACGTCGCGAAGCGGGCGTGAAGCGCCCAGTATCTGAACTAATCTGCATTTATTGCGTTTGCAGATTCCGATGAGTGCTACGCGGGTGCGTGATGATACGAGCATGCCCGCCGTCGTAGCCCATCAGCATGCCGTCTGGTCTCGGGGTACCATGGTGTACCCGTGCCACATGCGCGTGGAAAAGTGGTGACCAGTGTTCTGGACACTGCCGCGACCTGCGTGGCGGGAAGATCTTCGTCAGCGCGTTGTGCTAGTGTGGACTGTGTGTGAGCTATACTAGTGCGCTATGCAGAAGCTGCTCCAGGGGAACTCCCAGCATGTATGGCGAACACCAAGATCCTTACCCTCGGCCTCCTGCGTCCGTGCCGCAGCAACATTTCGGTGTGCAACTTCGGCTTCTCCCCTGCTCCTGGGTAACAGAGTGCCTTGCTTCATCGTGGGTAGGAGGTTGCTGGCTGGGCTGGGGGTCGACAGTCAGTGTATTTCCAGGACAGCAAAGCAAGACTCATGTTCAGCCATGTTCAGCCTCGCTTGCAGGTTAGAGGCAAGTGCGGGGCTTCAGCGCTTGGGCACGGGGGATGCTACCGTGGCAGTGCGCCGAAGAAGTGAAGTCAAGAGTAGCAACTGCAAGCCTACATTGAGATGCAAAACGATGCAAGGCTTGCCTGGCAATCCGCTCTTGTAGGGCTGCGATTTCAGCGTCAGCTTGTGCCAGGAGATCCTACACAGGAACGTTGCGTTGAACACCGTGAGGGGGTGGCGTTGGGGGGGGGCTCATGAAGACTCGGCCAAAGGCGAATTCAGTTTAGCAAGCTTAGCGAGCTTAGCCTTAGCTTAGCTACATCAGATGCTGCGTCTGGCGTCCTGGAAAGCGATCCCCAGCACCGGCTTGCGACCCAAGATTCTCATTGCAACTAAACGATCTGAAGGGGTTTTTATTGCAGCGACTTCAGAAAATGCAAAACGTGCATGCTCACAATATTTCGCAATCATGGTCTTTCGAAACAGCTTCAACAGCCTTTCATGACATCTTTAAACTCTAACTTGCTAAAAACCGATTCTCTAATCCCACAGCCGCAACTCGGCCTGCGCACTGGAGCTACTGGCGGCCGCACGCTCGGCTTCGCTGGCGAGAAGGGCCTGGCGTGATCTGTAGCCCTCTGGTGTCGACAGCCGAGCAGCTTCGGGCTGCTAATGAAACCCCGCATTTTCCTTTTCTCGCCTTCAACCAATCTCTGAACCTCTCGTCTCTCAAGGTTGCATGCCGGCACGCACCCTGAAACGATCTGCAGGCTTTGCTGGTGGAACTGGTAGCATATCGCATGGTTTGACTTTGCGAGTCGTTAATCAGGCTGCACGGAATGTGGACGACCCTAGGCCAGCAAGTGGGATGCCAGATCTGCGTCCGGTCGCTGTGTTCCCTTGTGCCAGCGGCTGCGGTAGCCAGCTGCCAAGCCGAGTAACAACAGTCCTGGGCTCAGCCAGAGAAATCGCTCGGACGATGCCCGCAACATCTGCAACACCTCTGTGATCTGTGTCATTCTTGCCGCAGCTGCTGATGCCGCCAGGAGCATCATAGGCTGCTCGAGCCTCAAGTCGTTGTGAATGCCCTTTTCTTTGCACTGCTTGGCACCCTCAGCAAAGCTGCCCGTGAAATTGTCTACAATGTCATGGCAGGGCTCAATCAAGAACTTAGTCCCGTCATCTTTCTCGAGCGTCTGGCAGCACTTCTCCAAGTTTTTCTTAATAGATGGCTTGATCGTCTCCAGGGAGAAGACAGCTTGGCAGCCACAGTAGCGGCACTTCTTGTCCATCTCCGGGTCGACATCGTCGTCCTCTCCATCGCAACCTTTGCAATCATCCCACGATAGGTCTCCGCACTGCTCTGGGAGTTCCGCTTCCACAGTCTTGTTGACAAGCTCCACCTCGGCCTTGGTGCAGTTCATGAACTCCCCAAGAACCACGTGGTGAGCTTGCACCCACGCTGCCAAGGGCATCGCCAGAAGCCCCAACACACCGGTGAAGACTGCGAACATAATCGCTGATGCGCAGAGGAATCCGGACAAGCATCCGCCCAGGCAGCAGCAACCTGCCTGAGTGCAGCAGCAGCGCCCACACATCGCTGGATCTTGGAGGAGCTTTCCTCCGCAACTAAATGCCTTTCGAGCCAATTTCGAGCACTCTTGGCTGAGGCACTGATGTGCAGGATGCCATGCCTGGTTCATGGCAGGTAAAGTCAGGTAAAGGCCATGGGCCGTGCGATGCCATGCGGCAACGTGTGGAAGCACGTATGCAGGTGACTAGACAATCTGAGGAAGGGGACATGGCAAACGGATTCTCGAAGGCCACAAGGAGACCATGGTCGGCCCATTATTCCAGCATGGGCCTGCTGATCCTCCAATCGCTCTTGTCGGCTGCGCTCGGCAGCGAGCTCCTAGCTGAGGGAGAGGTTTCAGGGCAGTGGTCCAGGAGTCTAGGGTCCAGTGAGGAATACGGGCTGAGGATCTTAGCTGCCACAAACGAGACATCAAGGGGCCGTAGAAGCATCCGTGGGAGCTGCAATGACTAGCTGTTGGCTTGGTTGCATATGACATTCGGAGTTCTTGAAGGATCCCTACCAGCCCGCAGTTTCCTGTCAACAAGTCGCTCAGGAGCCTCTGCAAAGAGGACACTTCGTCAATGCCAATGATTCAAGCAACAGCAACAACAAGAAGAAGAAGAAGAAGAAGAAGAAGAAGAAGAAGAAGAAGAAGAAGAAGAAGAAGAAGAAGAAGAAGAAGAAGAAGAAGAAGAAGAAGAAGAAGAAGAAGAAGAAGAAGAAGAAGAAGAAGAAGAAGAAGAAGAAGAAGAAGAAGAAGAAGAACAAGAACAAGAACAAGAACAAGAACAAGAACAAGAACAAGAACAAGAAGAATAACAAGAAGAAGAAGAATAATAATAACAATAAGAAGAAGAAGAAGGAGAAGAACAACAACATTGGGCATCTTTGCCGACGGACCGAACATCCTAGTTTAAGCCTCTGAGAGCCGTAGTCAAGTCCTCAAACACGGAAAGCCTGAAGCCCAAACCTTCTTGCTTTTCCCGGGGGGTCGCCTGCTGAAGCCTCTCGGCCTCCTTTGAAGCCGCCTCCGCCTGGCGCTGCGCGGCAGCCGCTGAGGCCTCGAGGCCTGGGTCTAGAAGTCTTGGCATCTTGATATTTTGGGGCTTTAGGCTTTTGGGGGTGCAAGATTCTTTTTGGGGGGTATTGGGAGCTAACGTGCTTGCAGTCTTCTCTGGGCGAAGGCTCTAGGCTTTTTGAGGCTCACTGCGATATGCTTTAAGACCTTGTGGGTGTCTATTCATGCATACAGATGCTGATTATGACACATGCCTACACAGTCCGTCTCCATTCAGGAATGTTCAGGGCTGAGCTTTGTAGCTGTGGGCTCGAGCTGCAATCCAAACCGTGCTCACGCACGTCTGCGGATTCGAACAAATTCGAACGCTGCCGCTCTGAAAAAGGGTTTTTGAGGCGCTCTTATGAAAGGTCGTGAGAATGGCTGCCGCTGAGGCCCGGCAATAAGCCTGTAGGTCTTTATGCGATTTTATGATGCTTGATGTCCTCTCTCAATCTTTGGGAGAGCGCCTCCCTCGGCTCGGCTCGGGGCCGGGCGCACTGCCTCGTCCTGCGCTGTCCGCAGTGTGGCCTCGGCATCTGCTAGCCTTGGCCGGTTGTTTGGGTTGGGGTTTAGGGACTTGGGGGCTTCGGGGGGTTTAGCGTATTTGGGTTTTAGGGTTTAGGCGCAGGGGTCGTAGCCGAAAGCAACAGGACATGGAATTCTGGAGCGCCAAACCGCAAACTGCAAGCCCATACTGTACATCGTTTCCCATAGAGCTTCTGATGAGAGCTGCCTCCCTAAACCCTAAACCCCAAACTTCAAACCCTGAATCTGAGGCCACGAGACTCTGCGGCAGCGGCAGGCCCATTGTCGCCCTTGAGGTCCGCCAGTTCGGTCTCGAGCCTCTGGGTGTTAGCTGCTCCGGGTTTACGGCCGGGCGAGCTCCGGCTCGCTTCTTCATGAGGCCGACAGTATATGGTTACTGGGCCTACGACTCTTTGTGATAGTGGCATCGTGACGACTTAGTAATCCAAAACTCTGACCTTCAAACTCTAAACTCTAAACCTCAATTCGAAACCTAACCCAAAACGCCCAAAGAAGCCGGAAAGCCGGCAATCCCGCCCTCCAGCCCCAACCAGGACAGGGCAAGAAAAGCCTCAGCTTGAGCCGCAGATTCCTTCTCGGAACACCGGGGCTCCGGGCCGTTGTACCGAAGCCTCTAGGCTGGTGGCCTCAGATTTAGGCTTTGAGCTGATTTTCAGGCTCTTTCCTTGGGTTTGGAGTACCAAATAGGCTTACTAGGCCCCGACGGGCAAATCCGAAGTGTTTCTGAGCTCACATTGAAGGATGAAGGCGTTGAAGGCATTGAGGGTCTGTTTAAGGTCCCCCTCTGTGCACCGGTGGAAGGCCTTCTGGGCATGTGTCGTCAGCTCGATCTCCAGCGCTTCGTGCTTCTGATGTAGGGTCGCATTTGTGGACCTGGGCAGTTGTCGCAATGCAGAAACAAGTCGTGAAATTGGACACCGGAGCTCAGCCCCGGGATAGGTGAAACCTCTTCCCCTAGTTGGACTCCGGCCGATGCATTCACAAGATGTTACGGCCGGCCACTTGCTCGACTGTTTGCCGGAGTTGTGAATTCAGGGGTCCTAGAGTGTTCGGCCAGCCGAACATCGCAGATGCATGGATGCAACAGCTTCAACATCTTGCTTTTCACCCTCCAGATTTGAAAGCTTGAGCTTCAAAGCCGGATGTGTTAGTTTCGTCGCTCGCTCTCCTTATAACTCCGCTAGAGGTCCTCCAAAGGCCTTTAGATCCCTGAGACATCCCAACAAGTTCCATCAGTTCCGAACCCCCTTGTGACACTCCAAGACGTGCCGGGTCAAGCTCGGCACCGGACCGGAGGTCCTGCAGCTCCTGGCGGCTGTCCTTCAGCCGGGCTGCCTCTGGGGAAGTTGGAGAGCCGTCCAAAGCTGACCCGGGATACACACAGGCTTGAGAGTTCATTGGGGGTTGCGATCTCAAGTTTTCGGGGTTGCTCGGGCTTGTTCTGAGCCTTTTTGAGCCTTGATGCCTCCTTCGGCTCTTGGCCTCTCAGAAAAGGCCTGGAAAGAGGCCTTTGACAGACTCGCTCACTGAGCTTCAGCCTTTTTGTGTCGAATCCCTGACTCACGTTGATTCGGCCGGCTTCGCTGCCAGGACCGTGCGCCGGCCGCCTATTGCTCTCTTAGTATGGGTCCAATGCTATTGCGGAAGCAAGGGGTCGGCAGGATCTGCCACCTTGCTTGCCAAACTCCACGGGATTTGGGGCAGATTTACCAATTGCCCTTCCATTCTTTTCGGCCCTGCCTCTTGAAACCTTCGTTCATCGCATGCCTGTGGCTCCTGTGAGTCTTAGTAGACCTTTCTCATCCTCAAATCCCTCCCGTCTCACTCATTAAGACTCCCAAATTTAGTAGCATGGCTGGCGCACCTTGGGTGCCTGCATCATGTTTTGGAATCGTTTAGAAGAAGTTGAGAAGTGCAGGGGTTGCAAGAATTGGGTTTGGAGTGTGATTGTATGATTGCGGGGGTTCAGGGTGTCGGGGTATGCAAATTCCACATTTACAGTTGCAGAGGCTACTGCAACCCGAACCATCCCGGCGTCGTGTTCCAAAATGTCCACTCAGCTGAACATCATGGCCTCGGCACGCAAGGCGTCACGGCCCTCTGTCGCAGACTCACGCCGTCGTCTCTCCTGCCCCCGTCCAAGCTTTGTCTCATAGCTTTCCGGGAACCTTTAATTTTTGACTTTGTCAGTGATTTTGTACTGACTGTATTTACAATTCTAGCTTGTAGCGATTTTAGATTCATTTGACTGATTTCTACTGATTCGTATCGATTCCTATTGCTTTTGTTATTGACCTCTTGCTTTTGTTAATGATGTCTTAGTTATCTTTATTGATGTTTTTCATTGGCTGTTTGTTGATTTCTCAACCCTGTACGAGCCCTTTATCAGCGCTTATAAGCCCCTTCAGAAGCCCATACTATTGATTTCTATGATTGTTGCAAGCTCATGTTCGTTTCCATTAGATGTGTCATTGAATTTTTATGGATGTTTATTGAGCTGGTTGTTCTTGTGGATGTCGATTGGTTTCTGGTGGTTTTCCATTGGTGTTTTATTGGCTATTGAGTGCTTAGTTTTTGTTTCCTATTGGTTTGTTCCTGACGTTAGTTGATTTCTATAGATTTTTCAACGATTTCTATTGATTTCTACTAGTTTCTAGTGATTTCCTGTTGGTTTTTATTGGTTTTCACTGGTTTTCCAGATGCCTAGGGCCTCTTGAGGCTACCTGGCGCGGGGACGCAGATATGTTTAAACCAAAAAGGAGACACAGTCTTACTGCTGCAGACGACATCAGCGGTTCCTCTAGGAGTCTGTCCTGGACGGGGAGCCTCCGGACGGGATTGCGAAACCTATTTCAAGGTTCCTTGTGTCCACCGACAAAGCCGAAGCCGACACAGCGGGCCCCTACAAACTACAAAAGCAGGTCCAACACCAATTACAGCACCGCTACTATTAGCACCGCTTTGCACCTAGGTACCTTGTACTTAGACATAGGCCATAGCTCGATGAAGCCCCGCCTCATCCAGGCCCGCCTTGGCTTTGCGAAGGTCCCTGGCATCAGCCGGGCCGTGCCAGGTACATGCGTGTCAAACTCTCAGACAAGAAAAAACCTCAAGGAACCAGATAGCAAGTCAGCCAGGGGCCCCTGCAGCGTCTTCCCCCCAGTATAAGGCTGCCTGATTATATAGGGGACCCAGAAAGGGACCCTGAATATAGAGAACATGTACCTTCCCAAAGATCCCCGAACTAGAAAATACTGGAAACCTGGCTTCGGGAAGCTTCGGCGCCTCGCCGCGGCCTCGCCTTTGGATCTTTCCTCGTCAAGGCGACGCCGGGCCAGGAGTAGCGAGGCCGTGATCTTCGCCTTGCACCTTCAGCAGTTTGGGTTGAGTTGCCTGCCAGAGTCCTGTTACATCATGTTAAAGCTCACGAAAGGACTCTCCCACATCCCACACCCTTTCTTTAACACGACCCTAACAAAGAAGCCAAACCCTGCTGCACACGGAATCCGCCGTCACCGATGCATCCTGGTACTTTCCCTCAGGCAAGGCGCTGCTGCTCTTGCATCAGCAAGTCATGCGCGAAGCCTTCCTGGAACGTGGAGCTTTCGGCTTTGACAAGTTTCCTGTCCTCCGCCTCACTTAGAAGCTCCTCCGGGGGGGGGGTGCGACGAGTTTGCTTCTCTCTTCTCATTTCCGACAATTCCACGTCAGAACCCAAAGCTTTGCCGACCTTGCTTCGGATGTTCTGCTTCATTCGCGTTTCTTGAGACAAGACTGTCCGAGATGACGACTCGTTGAGTCTGCACACCGTGCATTCCCATACGGAAAGACACTGTCATGTCATGTCATATCGCTCCCGGTGCTGCTGATGGCACTGGTGCCATCCGTGCCGTCTGGAGGGCCAGACATGAGTGATTCGAAGACCCAAAACGCATCAGATGGCATGGAGTGGGTCAATAAGAGTACAATTCTGCTGTCTTTTTGCGCTCGTCTGCCAGGAATCTTTGATGCAATGGCAGGGAACTGAACTCAGATGGGGCAGACTCGAAACAATCGCTGCGCCAAGATGTTTTGATTCTCGCAAAAGTCTTTTGTAAGTCCCCTGCTGTTGCTCGCAGGCCCGCAAAACGCGCCAAAAAACAACGAAAACCCTGCAACCACGAACCTGTTGCATCAAAATCAACAAAGAGTAACTGTGATCGCAACTGTGATTCCTGGTTCATTCTGCCCCCCAAACTTCCCCCCTGAGGATCTAGGGCATCACCGACTTGTGGAGTAACAAGCCAGACGATCAACAAACTAGTTCGTCCCAGCGGCCGCTGTCGTGGCTGCCCTTCGAGGGGCCGCCAAGGAGGCGCCCTGAGACAAGGAGAGGGCACCTGGCGTCCCCAAGCCCGCCGATGCGTGGCTCGGGGGCATCCGGCGCTGCGTGGTTTTGGTCATGTCTTCGTCTTCTATGTTTCTGCAACAAACGGTTTCCTACCAAGTAAGAGCCAACCAGGATCCCACTGCTCGTCATGCGCGGCACGAATCTCCCACTTCTACCGCGGTTACACAGTTCTTCAGATATTGAATTATTGGCATCCGAGTAGTTGAAGAGCGCGCCCTAGCACGAAGCTGTGCCCTAAACATCTCATCCGAACATCTTCAAATGTACAAGGCTTCTGGAACCCTTCCAGAAGCCTTGGGAAGCAGAGTCAAGAACTACGAGTCTCATGGCCATACATCATAACCTTAGGGCGTCATGTCCTGGGGTCCCGACAGCCATTCAGTGATGGCGCCTCTTCGACTGTGGCATTTGCCTCTCCTGGCAACAGCTTCTCACCGGAACTGCGCAGGCCGCATACCGCTTCGGGTGGGGGATCAGAGAGAAAGCAAAGGAGTCGGTTCCAATACCAAACAACTTTTGGGCCACGGGGTGGCCCTGATCGCCGATACCAGTGCTCTCTCACAAGCCAATCAGATCCCTCCACAAACCCCGAGCACTGCGGCCTCGAATTGCAAGCAGCACCGCTTAACCCCCCGAAACATCCATGAACTTGAGCCATATTAGTTCATGGAAAAGCCCTTCGTCCTGTCTCCAGGCGGAATTGCACGCGTGGAGGTGGGTCAGGAAGGTCTGCGGCATGAGGCTTGTCTCTCTTTGATCGTGGGATGCATCGGCTAAGGGGTTCACAGGCAAGATCCATGAGGTGGGTTTCAACGTACAGGTCCCTGAAGGCTAAGGTGGAAGATAAGCTTCAGCCACCAGGAAGCCACATTCTGACAACCTTCTCCCTCATCATCACTCATCTCAAGCTCCGCGCCAGGGGGGTGGGGCTTCGTCAAGGAGATGATGTCTCCGATGTGCAGCTCGGTTGGATCACCCTTGGCAATCCTCTCGTCATTGACGTACGTGCCTCACTCAAGAAAGTTCTGCTGCAAACTAAGTCCCTTTGATGTGTGAAGAACCTTTTGGGGTGCTTGAAAGGGAAACATAACCTTTTCTTTGACAGGCGGCCATTGGTGCTGCAGTCGTAGATCCGTGCCAGACTGGCACTGGCGATCAGAATCTCGCAGTGCTTCCCGCTCACGGAGATGTCGTTGCAAACTATGGTGTTTGCCGGCCTCCTGCCAATTGTCACAGTACCTCACATGCGGGCCGCGAAAGTCACGAAAGGAGCCCGGCTCTTGATCACACCACGCATATGATGCAGATTTCGGGATTTTTTCATGAAGTATCCACACATGTGTTTAGGGACCGGGTGCTTCGGTTTGGCGTGGCTTGGAATCGGGGAAGCCGGGGTGCCCGAAGAAGGCAGCTTGTAGGAGGGCTCTTGCGTATGCAGCGACACCAGCACCCGTGCCATTGCATGGATTCCCCACGTCACGGCACTGGAGGCTGGCAGCAGCAGGGGGTTTTGGGTTTACGTTCTCAGTGGGTTTGACGGGTGTTGAGTGGTGCGTGTGAGGGTTCTGCAAGTGCTGCGGGGTCGTTGGAGGACGCGGAGGACTTCCCATGCGCCACTAGTCATCTAGTCTTGTTGGGGTTGCAAAGCTCACTTGTTGACTGTGTGGGTTGAAGCAGCTAGCAGCAGTGAGACGAAAGAAGGACGTGCGCAAACTCGACATGTCCAACAACCCTGAGCTTTGGGCACGAACCAATTTCGGCTTGCACACAACTTACATCGCCTGGTGTCCATGTGTACAAAGGCCTACCTGTACTCCCGACTCAGATAAGATGGTCCATCCGGGACAAGTCTAATCCTCATGCATAGGAGTTTTGGACTGCATTCGGAAGGTCATCCATTGCCACTCTGATGGTGAAACATGTTCATCGCGATCACGCGGGTGGCTGTACCTGGTTCAAAGCGCAGGTGCGCTACGAAGCAATGGTTGTACCGAACATCTCCCGTGTCCGACTCTGAACCGTCAGATGTCCAGCTGGCTCGAAGACAATCTCGATCTAGCCGATAGATGATTTGGGCAACTCTCGCTACCGTCCGTCCTATGTGGGCACCAGGAAGTCTACGATTAAGCCTTATCCTAGCAGTGGTTCGCAGGATACGGATGCCAGGCAGCTTCACCATCGAACCATTATGTCACGTTGAAGGTGCTGCTCGGCAGAACGGCACACAGAGTGGGGGACTTCATGCGGATTCATACGGCCCATGAACGCAGACACACGCGGCCGCCCAAAGCCACAGCCTCCCCAACCCTGGATCCTTTATAGGACTCGGCCTGGGTGAGGCTTCTTCAGATTCAAAGCTCCTCTGGTTTCGCCTGGCATGCTGATGCTGTGTGTGGGAAATGCGTTGGGGCCAGCATAGGTTTCATGGGGGCAGGCTGCATCAACTGTGTGCACAGGATTTGAAGGTTGTGTTACAAGCAGCTTGCGCGGAATCCATGATGGGGACATTGGACCAGTGGCAATCCCGGACTGCAGCCAAGAATCCCGTGTGCAAGCTTCAAATACTGACCCGCGAAACTGTTGACCAGCAAAAACACTCTGAGTTCCGTTCCTGTGTCCTGAGGACGCCGAACCGCTTCTTGCACCTTCGCATGGATCACGGGGCACAAGCACGTAAAATATAAGTGAAACTACTGTAGTGCGTTGGGCATTTGTGACGTGTAATTACTTTCAAAGGATTCTTAAAGGAAATGATTCGAAGCTAGGCTTTCCAAGCCAGGAAGATCCCTATAGGCCCTAGAGTATGCCCCCAACTCCCTTCAAGGCAGGCTCTGAGCTCGTGACTTGATCCTGTGCTCTGAGTACTTGTCGTCCGGAGAGAACCTAAACTCGCCAGCTCTGTAGCGACATGAACAAGTGCAGGTGGGAGGCTTAGCAGAGCATGTACGCAAGTGTACCCAGTGTGCACTGCTGCTGCAGCAAACCAAGAGTGTCATGCGCTGCCTGCCTTGCTGGGTGGGCAGAGAAAGTCGGCTTCTCCTCCTCCTATGAGGCAGTTGTCAAGATGACATGCTTCGTTAGGTCCTAGGCTATGTTTAGAAGCTCCAAGAGCAAGGATGATAAGGATGAATAATTGTGTTCACACAGTGCTGCGGCTCATGCCATCTCTGATGGACTGCACTTTCTTCCCACTTGCAGCCTCACCCTCCACTTTCACGACGCTCTCGAGGGTGTAGACCTGGGGATACAACCACGGGTGCAAGAAGCACGCGTCTTCGTGAGGGGGGGCGTTGTGCAGGGGGAGCACATCGTGCCACTTCTTTCGAAGCTCACTTCTCGTGGTGTACAGCCATCTGTCTTCGAATACAGCCATGCTGACGCCCAGGCCCTCTTCCCATTCTCGTTGAGATAGTAGCGAAGCCTTCTGACATTCTCACGTGGTACTGCATTTTGGAGTTCTGCGATGGCGGCTGGTACAAGGTTTGCTTGTAACGAATTCTCCTAGAAACTCTGCCTAGATCGGTCCCTTGCGACCCATCAAATCTTATCAAACCTCTGCCTGGTGTGACAAACGAGGGCAGGTAAAAATCGTCTGTGGCGCCCAATGCACGGTTGAACCGTCATACATCTTTAGTTCAATTGCCGTAGCGCATCATCTAATACTAACTAAGACTCACCCGTTCATAGGTCTAGCAGGCCGAATTCTGAGCTTACACACGGTTATTAGTATTAGTATTAGCATGTGATCTCAGGGTTAGGTTAACGGCCCATTGGAATAAGTCCTGAAATAGGGGGCCACCACTTCACATAACCTCTCTCTAGGGACGTTCATCACGAGCGGACACATAATCCTGAATAACAAATCAGCCAGGATTGGAGAACAAACTCGGCGAGTAGCAATGCTAACTGCCACGTGGGAACATGGGTGACATGATATGTTGGCATCCCAGACAAAGTCTTGTTACAAGCGTCAGCAGCTGGGAACAGGCAAGCCCAAAGCGGCCAGAAAAATCAAACAAATTAGACAGCATTCGAGCCCTCCATGCCGACACGAAGCCGCTGTATCCCCAAACTTCTCCAACTTCGTATTCCATGTTCCGAGGATCTGAGGCTGGCACTGCATGGCTGCCTGCGGCTGCAGTCGCGCAGGGCCGAGCTGGAGCCACGACAAGCACAGGGCACGAGAAGAAGCAACATCAACGGAAGCTTGGCGGGTACGTCCTTGCAGTGTCATGCAGTGTCTCATGGCAGTGCCAACTCCTTTGCAAACAAACGGTGGCTCGGGAGAGCATTGAGGGTAGACACTAGACACGCCTCTGGGTGATGTGCAGAACGAGCAGAGCACGCTTTTGTCCAGGGTGCTGCCAGTCATCGCCCATCCGTCTACGCAAGTGGAGCGGCCCACTGCGAAACATTGACGCGGTCCGGCGAAAGCTTGAGGAACAAGATGCAGACTGACAGCCCACAGCTTTGGGACTCACGAGACTGTGTCGAGTGCCACTGGCTCGGAGGCACTCGCGACCTGCACAATCAGAGCAGCTGGATGCTGAGTCTCCGCCTCGACGCACAGTAGAACCTTACGGCCTTTCAAAGAGAACATCCTTCCTGTGCACAAGATGAGCTCTGTCACTTCGGGCACACGTGAGCTACTGACATGCTCGCAAGACATCCCCTCCTAAGGCAATAGAAAGCCACCTTGTGCGAGTGACGACACAAAGCCAGCAGCCCCTAATCGTGTTACGTGCGAAGCTTAAAGGCTTGAAAAAGAAAGGCAAACCAGACTGTTGAATTGAATCTCTTACGTGATTTTCAAACATGTTGCATAAACTCCACCCGCAAGACAACGGAATATCAAAAACAAAAACAACACCCTCAGTGTAAGTCTGGCTGGTACTGGAGGTGGTGTGATTTGCCGCAGCTGGGCGGGCATCAGGGTTGAATGGTCACACCCCAATACAAACCTAAGATCCCATGTCAAAGGATGAAATTCAGAATCTGGAGTTGGCGCCCCGTACTTGTGTTCCTGGACATGTAACCTCAGGACCTGTGTCTCTACTTGTCTAGGAGCTGTGCCAATGTCCGGCGGTGGAAGTCAATGGACTAGTTTCAGCATTTGAACAAAGCGATGTGGTTGATCCTAGAACTAACGACGGTGCTTTGTGGTGGTTCCGCGTGACACGGTTAGCAGAGGCTAACTCGGCAACCGCATTCGTTTGCCAGGGTCGCTCATCACTGGTTCAACTGATGACATAGAAACATATTTGCCGGGCCTCTTGGAGCGATGGCATCTCTGCCGGCAGCGACACCTCGGCACAGTCTGTGGCACAGTGGTGGGATCTGGAAGGGCCTGGGAGGGAATGCCCGGTTGACACCACAGGCTGCTAACACCGCCACAAAACTACGACAGCGGGCTGCGCTGAAGTGTGACATCCAATGGGGTCAGTGCAAAGCCTAAGCTGGCCAAACCCTTCTGCTCGTAAAGCTGCACTCGAATCCGGATACGTCGGGCAATGTTCATTTTGGAGACTCATCGATGCTGGCCCGCATGACTCAGGCGGCAGCGATGAGCAGATCGGCCTGGTCGGAGGCCACAGCCCTAACTCTCATGTCTTTGAAGGTCTTCGCCTGTCTAATTCGGGAGCGGGCCCCGCGCTCTGGCCGTATGGGGAATTCTGCGACAAAAGGTTACAAAAACTTGATGTAAGCCGCACAGAACTGCGGAGCCATCGGCCAATAACAAAGTATGTGTTCATATGTGCCAATATACCAGAACGTACACATACATCAGCATAATGTCTTGCGACAAATGCCCGATGATGAGACCTTGAGGTCCTCCTCCCTAACCCTCCAAGCTTCGAAGCATCTAGGCCCTCAACATTCCCGAAGTTGAGCCGACAAGCCCTCCAGGCCCGAAACTGCATCCGAGCCGGGATCGAAACTGGCAACTTTTCGCTATTGAGTTTTTTGAAGGAAACTTCTTCGGCTCCTTGGGATCCCAGTCAGCATTGGCTTCCGCGGAGTTGAAGTGCTGCGGCCTTGCGCAGCACAAGTCGCTTGCAGAGTTTCAGAACAATTTTGGGCTAAAGGCTGTGGAGGGTGTACTGCACGAAGCCCCATGCAAATGATCATTGGGCTCTCTGCACATTTCTGGACTGATGGGGCCCCTCCTTTGGTTGGGGCCTTCAGGATTCGGCCGTCGCACGCCGCTTGGGACCAAAGCAGGTGCGCAAGTCTGTTACGCTCGTCACTGGGGCGAGGGCCACCAAAAGGTGATGTTTCCGTAGGCGCACTTCGTCGAGCGAGGCAGCATCGGGAAGCTCACCCTGCAAACGCCGGGTGGGCTTGGAACTCGGCATGTCGCGCCTTGCGGTCCTTTAAAGACCCTAAACCAGACGACCACAGACTTCCGACATGGCTCCGAAGCACGACAGCTACAGCAGCCGGCCTGAGGCACTCGTCGCTGACCTCCCAGGAGCATTAGCCCTGGTCAACCCCTATTCTGCAAACCTGTTCCGAAAACCCATCCTACCCAATCCTACTCTTGAGTGGAACGTGAAGTCCAAGGGCAGCAAAAGAATCGCTGGAGTAGAGTGGCCTCCAAGGAAAACTGCTTCAACGATGGGACGTGGGGATCCAAGTCCGGCAGGCGCACGTGGACACAGCAAGTCCTGACTCGATGGAGACTTTTGCTTTAAGGAGAACTGGTACTTTTGGGTGGACGGCGAACTCAAAGCTTGGACTCTGGGTCGAAAGTTCTTCCTGTCCTGGATGCCAGCATCTCGCTGGTCGCCTGCCACGTTGGCAGCTACAAGACGGTTCCCTGGGCTGCCCTTGTGCAGCGACAACGTTGACAGTGTCAAGTTCAAGGACAGATGCCGTCTGATCTGCCGAACTTGAAACACCAAAACATACCAAAACAAACAACACGTAAGTCTGAAAACCATTCGATCACGGCCAGTCTGGTTTTTGATTTCTTTGCCGGTTGCGACAAAGGGCATCGGCAAGTTCAAATTCTTGCTACTACGGCTACTGCTACTGCTACTGCTACTGCTACTACTGCTACTGCTACTCCTACTCCTACTCCTACTACTACTTCTTCTTCTTCTTCCTCCTACCACTTCCTACTACTACTTCCTACTACTAATTTTCTTCCTACTACTACATCCTACTGCTACATCCTGCTACTACTTCCTACTACGACTATTGCTACTACTCCTACTACTCCTACTCGCTGCTGTTCTGCTGCTGCCGCTACTGCTGCCACTGCCGCTCCTGCCAACTACCAACTACTAATTCCTAACCCCCCAACTACTCACTACTTTCTACTCCCTTACTACGTGCTACTAAAACAGATTCTGATACTCACACTAAATACAAACTTCTAAATACTACATACAAATACCAAATACCAACTACTAAATACTGGATACATACTAGATAGTAAATGATGAATACGAGTGCTGCTACTCCTACTCCTAATGCTGCTCCCAGCCGCCAAGCAGACTTTAAGGCTCCTATTCCTACTCCTACTACTCCTCATTCTCCTGCTCCTACTCCTGCTGCTACTTGCTACTGCTGCTACTACTGCTCCACTGCTACTGCTACTGCTGCTGCTACTGCTGCTTGCTGCTCCTACTACTACAACTACAAGTACTACTACTACTACTACTTCTTCTTCTTCTTCTTCTACTACTAGTACTGTACTAGTCTACTACTAGTCTACGTCTACTACTACTACTACTACTACTACTACTACTACTACTACTACTACGAAGTGACTCTGTCCCAATTTAACCTGTTGTGATACGGTGTCTTGGGCGGCCTTCTTGGCCCGAGCCACGGCGTCGACTTCGCCTTCTTCGGCCTCCTCGTCTCGTTTCCGGTCGGCCTCGGCAAAAGCTGCGGCTCTTTTCAGCTCTGCAGTTTGCTTCATGAAAGGAATCCGCTCAGTTAGTTTCTTTCTGTGCTCTCTAACTCGCGCAAACGCAAAGGTCATGCTCTCGTACAATCCGGGCATGTGCACCTCTGCACACGTAACCTTTCTTGGACACATCGCAAGCCCTCACGCATGGCACGGAAACAAGCTGGATGCGTATTCTGCTTTTGTGTTGCCCTTCTGTTGGCTTCTGCCATGCAGCGGGGCATGCAATACTGTCTGCATGCTCCTCTCGGTTCTACTGCAGCTGACATTTGGCTGATCGCATCCCTGGTGCCTGCTGCGTTACGTTATTTCACCATCGTCACCACATGGACATGAGCAGGATTTGGCCTGGTTCTTCATGGTGCCACGAATCTTCTCCTGTCGCAGTTGTCGGCGGCTCTCTTGCAGTGTGCTACCTCCGACCCCGTCGGCCTGCTCACAGCAACAAGAACCACCAGCTTCGGATAGCTTCGGGAATGAGGATGTGCACGGTCCGCCGTGCTGTGTCCCTGCTTGGCAAGCCATGAATGGACGCTGCCTGGAAGGTGTTGACTCGATAGCACGGCAAATCAAAGCCATAGAGGTACGTGACCTGCCATAGCTTTCCAACAAAAAAATCGAGCGACTCACGTGAATTGTAGTCAGCAATGTTCTCTTTTCGGCATCGCAAGCTTCACAAACAGACTCTTCCAGATTTCGAGATTTTCTTGCTGCAAGCCAGGCGTGGTGTGAGGCTGACGCGCATGATTCACCAGTCCCCTCCACATCGATTCCAATCCTCTGTTCCCAAACACACTGCACGGTCCCCCTCAAAAACGTATACAGTAGATGTACATAGAAATTGCAGGCACTGGGCTCGTGTCTGGGTGGCCTTGGCTGCCTCCTCCACGTCATCGGGCGGCGAGCCCCAGTCTCGATCGAAGATGTCCTTCCAGAAAGGCACAGAGAGTCTCACCTCCCCCGATCATGGAGAGCATTTCAATCTATTCAGATTGTACAAGTTCCCTGCGAAAATGAAAACAGATCGGGAGAGTTCTGGAATGAAAGTCCCCTTACGAGGAAGCCGAAACGAAGCCAGTCCCTCTCTACATTGAAGGTTTACAAGTCTACCTGTTTAGCAGTTCGAGCTTGAACTACCCTGCGTCCGCGAGCACGTGGGCACAATTCCCACTGAACCACAAGTAGGAATGCTTGTTCCTATGCCCTGCTTCGCCTTCATCAGGGTGGCATTCGAGGACTGGGATGCTGGGTTTTTACATTCGACCTCTCCTGCAGTGGTGAGCTGTCGGGCAGCGCGTAGTAGACGCAAAAGTCTGGAGGCTGAGGGCCATCTGCAAGCTGCTTCGAGCGTTTGATGCAAGCGTGGCTCATGAGACCGGACTCGAGGAACGGTCGAGTAGGAACTGGGCATGTATGCATTCTCTTCGCAACTTCGCTGTACGAGAGCCGGCACAGCTTGCAATTGAAAGGCAGCAAGGCATCACGAGCCATACACACTTCTTGATTCTAGAGCACTGGACCCTGGAACCCGAAGGCTTCGCATTACGCCACAGGCTTGAGATCTCAGCCCTTCACAGCCTGACTGAAGTTGCACCAAAAGATGGGCTGCCTGAGCGGGCTGCCGGGAGACCAGGCTCGCCACTGGCGCGCCTGTCTGGATTTCTGGGGTTTTTGGAGCTTCGGTTGGCTTCTGTCCTTTAAAGGGGGGCTTTAGGGCCAGACTTAACTTCACACCGGGGGGGGGGCGGGAGGGTACCCGGGGACCCCGTGGTGCTGAAGCATGTGCAGGGTTTACAAAGGGGACATGGCTTGCAGCGCTGCCGAGAACAGTCATTCCAATGAAAGCCTCTTGGAAAGCTCCAGATCAGGCCGCTTTCCACAACTCACACTTCTGCTGCGGAAGAACTAGTCTCTGCCTCAATTTGCAAGCCAGCATGCCTCTGAGCACTAGTTCCAGGTTGTGGGGCCGAGGTATTCTCCGGCATCTCCTGACAGTTGTCTAAACCCTCTTGTATGCTTGCATGCGGTGCGAACCAATCTGCACTCAAACCCAAACCCTATACGAACGACTGGGCTGGTCATGGCAGCATGTGCTCCAGCATCCTGCTTGTCTACTCAAGATTAGGGCCGTTCACATCTAGAATTTGCAATACAGAGCCGGCTGGCGGCTGGCATGGGGAGGAGGACTCCCAATGAGGGGTGACATGCCAAGCTTCGAGCAGCGCTCCTGGATCTGCGACTCCTTTTTCTTCCCTGGGAAGCCGGAGGAGTTCTGGGGGCTTCACGATGCATGCTTTGTTGCGATTTGCTAAGGTCGCATTTGTTGTGAAGAGTGCGCTGTTTACACATCTTAAGCCATGTCCAGTCGTCCCATGCCCCAATGACAGTCATTAGGGCCATCGTGACCAGACGTCAATCCGGGCTGCACGCGAATTCTTTGCAGCTGCACTGTGGTGCCCTGCCGCAGAACTGTCATGACAAGTGTCCGTGGCAAAGGTGTGGGCTGCTTTAATCCCTAAACCCTAAACCCTATACCCTAAGGAGTGGTGCGGAGGCTTGACAAGTTAGAGCTCGTCAGGATCAAATTGGCCTAGAATCTCGTGTGCATGCAGTAGTTTGCATTGCATACCATCCGAGGCCCATCACTCAAGCTTAGAGTCTCTAACTTGAGTACAATTTAACACAGCCACGATGACAGTGACGATGGACGATGAACTCTTCGTGTTGCTGTGCCAAGTGAAGTGCCACTGTACCAATCGGAAAGCAGGGGGGGGGGAGGCCTTGTACTTGATCTTTGGCAGCTTGAACCTTTGATCAAGCCTGATGGTGCAAGATGGTGGGCAAGATCCAAGCGTCGCAAGCAAGTTGGGCGGGTTGGGGGGGGTTGTCAAATGGTCATGCTCATGTCTCGGCATCTAGAAGACTAGAAGACTCGCACTTTTAATTAGGTTGCCAGCAGTTCCTGCCAGCTCAGGGACTGGAGCAACGAGGATGCATGTGTTGGCAATGCACAATGGCTGCAGCAGTTTGGGGTGCGAGCCTCTATGCAAGGAGTTCCAACGGGGCCACGCGCAATCTGCTAGCCAAGCCGCTGCAGCTTGTACTTTTGAGACACCGCAGCGAGGCAGAGTTGCACCACCTGTGCAGAAGCCACGAACACATTTCAGGAACTGTGGGAGTTTCTATGGCTCGAGTCGCCGACCGTTAGTGAAAGTTTAGTGGTAAACTCTCAATATGTGCAGCTCTGTGGAGGCTCTGCACATTTCAGGTTAACGATTGCCTGAACGTTTTCGTGTGCCTCTCATCCTTGAATCTGTACAACTTACACTGTATATTGATGTCATTGATACAAACGTTCAGAAAGCTGGAGAATCGGACAACATCCAAGTCACAAGTCAAACAGATCACATAGTAGGCTCCCACGCCATGTAAGCACGGAACTCTCTGCCACACGGCTTTCGCACTCTGCCTGTTCTCGGAAAGCCGGCTCTGCAGCGCACTCCTCCACGACCTGACGCGGCGCGGACTCCCGCTGGCTTGCTTTATGAGTGCCTCCATGGAGGGCCCGAAACACTCAACCATTCTTTTCACTCTACCTCGCAACTTTGTCTCTAAGACTCTAAGGTGAGCGTGCCAAATCCTTGTGATGAGCTCATCATAGCAAACAGGCCTGGAAACCATCAAACTTGTTGATGCTCGGTTCTTCGACTACCCTGACTACCCGGGAATCGAGGATGACAATAGCTTCTTCTTGTTCTTCAGGCACGCCGTCCAGGTGACACTCCAGCGTCCAAGAAACGACATCAACCATTGCAGTGATTCCCCCAACTATGGAGATAGTGACAACCCGTACCTCGTGTTTCCCCCTTTGTTCGGAGTTCGGGGAGGCTAGCATCTTTGTCCCGATGCGTGAGACGACCAGCCATGCTCGAGTTCGGTTATAGTTCATACTCATCAAAAACCCTTGCTGCCCTGGGCAGATGACAGCAGCTCTCTCTCTCTCTCTCGCAAGGCATTCTTGCTAAAAATCAACCCAAGGCCTTCGGATTTGCCACCACGTCATATGTGACGCAGGGCTCGCCTTTCTTGTCGAAGTCCTGCAGTGGTGCGCTCAGTCTTAAGCCTTGAGCCTTGCAGTGCTAATGCACTATGTAAACATGAACGGATCGAATAGGCGTGGATGGATGGCCTGATGATGGACTGATTGCAAGGCTACAAGTCTCGACTCAGAAATAAAACATAGCGGAGCGTGAGTGGGCGGATGTCTCAATCACAATCCCATCACCCCTTCCCTATGCCGCCTCTACAGGTGTACCAATGGAGAGGGGCACGCGGCAGCCCTGCTCCCCCTCCAGCTCAACGTAACTCTTCATGTGCGGCTCCTGCACAGGGATCACTGTGAAGGTGCGGAGTCATGCTTCATACTTCAACCACCCTCGGCCACCATGCCACCCTGCCTCAATATGAGGGCTCGACACGACGTTGATGAAGATCTTGGTGCCCGCGCCGGTGTCGTTCGTCTTCACGACCTTCCCGTGCCCACAAAAACCCTGAGGCCCTGAGATATTCTAGATTGGCCCTGTAGACCCTCTGAAACATCTTCCATTACATTCCGACACATGATCCTCGTAAATCCAATCCTAAGGGAAACTGTTAAGTACCCTAAGGGCCTACCCAGTATTCAGGTACTCACTCTTGCCAGGCTTGATTCCCGAATGCCTGCCGGCCTCGAGGAGGGTTCAGGACTTGTTCAGGGTATGGAGGCGGAGCTTACTCGGCCAGGCCAACTTGCTCGAGCTCTTGAACCGATGTGGTGCCAGCACGCTTGCTCCGACAATTTCGGCTCGAGACCCTGAATTTGTGGGTCCTCCGCGATGTAGGCCTGCTGCCTCTCTTGTCCCTCGATGCCAGGGCCACGGCAAACCCAGCTTCGGGGCGAGTGGTGATGCCACCTTCAGGATCTACCTGTGCACGCACGGAAAGCGACGACACTTTGGTATCAGTATCCGCTAGCCGAACAGGAAGCGATGCGAGCATCAACTTGTACTCTTGCACTCAACATGGCCCATAAACGCCAGCCCTTGGCATGGCTTGGTCTGACAAGAACTGCCGTTCACGGCATCTTAAAATGTCAAATCGGACAACACCGCCCGAAAAGACATCACCCCCCCCCCCCCAACCCAACTTAACCAGCAGTGCTTGCTGGCTGTCCCACGCCTGGTCGAGCATGGCGCCTCCTCCCATTGTCGGCGCAACGCCTGGGCACATGATTGGAAACCCTTGTTGAAAGCGTACTTGGCTGCCATCGCGCTGAAAATGCAGCGTTCTTCTACCTCAGTCCGCTATGCACGCTGATGTCAACTCTCTGCTGGATGGCAATGGCTAGAACCAGGTCTCAAGAGCAAACCTTGACGTCAGGGCAACCTTTTAACACCTTTCCACTTCGACCCTGAAGAAAGTCACGTTGGGTTGCAGACCCTGCAGCCTGCAGATCTAGCAGAACCGATTGCAAACGATGCTGTTGCGGGCCTTCTTGGAGCATCTGCTCGTAGCTTTGCAGGTACTCTTCCATACTGCCTGAACACGGAGGTTAAGAGGCTTTAGGAAGAGCATCAGGGAAGCCCCATGCTGCTCTGAGCTATCAGGGACACCAGAAGCTTTTCTTGCCCCCCATGGATGTTGACTTGACTCGCCGACTTCACGATGATTGACAACGGGATTACGGTGGAACTTTGTGTTAAGAAATTTTATGCAGCAAGAAATTAGACTCTCGAATTGAGAAAAATAATTATATTCAGAGTCTGAATCGCAACCCAAACGTAATTACAAATTGAATGGCCTTTTTGCAAGGCTCCAGCCCTCCAGCCCTCCAGGCCTCCAGGCCTCCCTCCAGGATTAAGCCCTCCAGCCCTCCACCAGCCCTCCAGCAACCCTCCAGCTCTCCTCCAGCCCTCCAGCCCTCCTCCAGCCCTCCAGCCCTCCTCCAGCCCTCCAGCCCTCCCCTCCAGCCCTCCAGCCCTCCAGGATTAAGCCCTCCAGCCCTCCAGCCCTCCAGCCCTCCACCCCAGCCCTCCAGCCCTCCAGCCCTCCAGCCCTGAAGGCTGCCCTGAAGGCTGGAGGGCTGGAGGGCTGGAGGGCTGGAGGGCTGGAGGGCTGGAGGGCTTAATCCTGGAGGGCTGGAGGGCTGGAGGGCTGGAGGGCTTAATCCTGGAGGGCTGGAGGGCTAGAGGGCTGGAGGGCTGGAGGGCGGAGAAAGCAAAGGGTTGGTCAGGTTGAATAAGAAATGTTTTCAAGACTCTCGCCTCAAATCTACCTTTCTTAATACATCTGCCTGGTTAAGAAATGTCCCAGACTCTGGTGGACCTTCGAACCTTTCTTATCATAAGTTTTGACCGTACATGCCGCGGACAAATCATCACGACGTGTTGACGTTACTTCTGACGCTCGCGCAACTTGATTCAATCTTGCGAAGCTGCTGCTGTGCGGACTTCGACAGAACTAAAAGGTCACAAAGCCGACACGACGGCCGGAAGAAGGCTCCAGCTGACGCTTGCTGATGACGCACAGCTCTAACAGGGTCTCCAATCGGACATGCTGGGCCGGGGGGACAACGAATCTGTCTTTGTAAAATAGTTCTCTGATGCCGGAAGCCTCCGCCTGCCAAGAGCTCTGCCAGCTTCTCTGGGTTTCCGCCCAGAGCCTTGCACGCAAAGCTTCGTGAGTTTTGTTTGTGCACCTGTGATGCTTGTGAACGGCGGGTGAGGGCTGAAGACATGGCTTGACGTGCCTGAACATCTGGGCCCTCTCACATCTCCCGACGATTCCCGACCTGCCCACCACTGTAATACTGCAGTGCAGTCCCAAAGTACTCAGTACATCACGGTATCCACACCGCAGCCCTGAGTCAACATTGGCTCACGGGCCATGGTCCTCATCCCCGAACCGCAATTTAAACAACCCTCAATCACTCTCTCCCCCCAAAAAAACATAATCCTGCCCATAATACAAGTGCTTCCCTAAACCCTAAACCGTTCATGGAACTCAAAAACATGATAGGGGTGGACATGCCAGCCCTGTAACCGTTTGCGACTTTACGACCTCTCGAAATGCCCCCCCCCCCCCCCCCACCAGCCTTGAGAGGCCCCCCCATCCCGAACTGTCAAAAGTGCAGCCGGCGCGCTGAGAGCAGCTCGGGGTCCATGGCGCCAGCATTTTCCTGCATGGAGGGCTGATAGGGTTCAGGGTATCATTGCCTTAAAGAGTGATGGCCTGATTGAGGTCCGGAAGCGTTCTACTCGGGTCCTGCGCGACTTTCTGTCCCACGCTGTACAGCTCGTCCATGGCTCGAGTTCGGGCAAAAGCCCTCCATGCACGATTCGGGTTGAAGCAGGGCTGAGGAGCGCTGAGGAGACTGCGCAGTTTCAGGTGTAGGTGCGGGTGGAAGGCAGCACACGGTGCATGGTGCTGCCTGCTGTCCGGTCTGCGGGTGACTAGTGAGTAGGGGTAAAGAGACAACATGTGCTGTTGAATCTTCTGCGAAGCAGCTTCGTGACACACGACTCCCATGCCAGGCCCGGACACAAGCACAGTGGCATCCAAGCACAGTGGCAAACCTCGCTCTTGAAAGCCCTTTCTGATTCCTTTTGGCTGCTCGGCGGCCTTGCGTGGCAAGCCTCAAGCTGGCTCAAGCGCACCTGCCAGTGGCGTTTCCGTCATCTCGCCTAACCACACTTCTTGATGCTTTCGAAGCAGGAGATAGCTCAGTATCGTTTTGACACTGACGTTATTGCAGTCGAGCACGTCCCAGGCACCACCAAGAAAAATCCACTCAACACCACGCCCTGCCCGCATATGAGAAGCCACAGCCCCAAGCCTCCAGGCCTCAAGACGCTACGCCGCTACGCTGAAGCCCTGCAGCCCCCCCGATTCGGGGCCCTCACCATGCCGGTGGGCCGGAGTTCGCTGCTGAACCATCGAACAGTACTTCCAGGCGGGACCTTGGCTAGCCCCCAGGAATGCGTCGGGAACAGTTGAACAAACGATAACAAACGGTGCAAGGCTTAGAAGCGATATCTCTCACACTCACAAGAAGCGCCCAGGCGACAATTCCGTACATCCGTACTGTCGATGCCGGCACATTATGTCCGTAACAAGCCCTTGCGACCAGCGACAGGGCAGTGTGCTGCCGCCAGGCACTGGCGCGGCCCTCTTCGCGCAGCCTGATGCTGCTCATGCCCGAGACTTGTTATTGGGTGCGGATTTTCGATCGTGTTCTATGTTTCAGTTTAAGACTCGCTCGGGCCTCAGTGCTTCAAAGGACCCAGCCTGTGCAGGTGATGTAGGAACTGGTAGGACTCCTGCAAGAAGGCGAGCGTCTTTGCCTCTCAAGAGCTCTGGGAGGAGATGTCAGTCGACTGGCTGTCTTGACTATCGCTGAGAGGCTGAGGGCGGTTGCTGTGAAGAGTCCATTTGCATGCTAATTGCATTTTTTGAGAAGGAAAAGATATTCAAAGACTTGTCGGCCTCTGCAAGAGCAGTGCACACATAGGAGTTTAAAACAAGCACCCTATGGCACCCTGTTCAGCCATGTTCATCCCTATCCCGCACAACGCTCAAGACTGTGGGGGCTGGATCAGACAATCAAGCCACCTGGCCATTCTTCAGCTGCCGACCAAAGGCCAGTCCTGACGAAGCTGGACACGATCCAGCGAGCGCAACATCTCTGCAGGGCATCGGTTCCTGCTAAGATTCTTTGTATGAAGCCATCCCCCCGAGTATCACCTACAAGCACAGTACTGGCAGCATGGTTCCTGGTACATCAAGTCGGCGAAGCTGAAACCCAGACTTATAAGCAATGTCCATACTCCCGACAAAGTCCTTCACCCAGGGACGACGCTGCCAAGCAACTCCAAGCACCCCATCCTTCCCTCCACCCCCACTCCGTCCCAAGGCCTGGGCCGTAGTTCCAATCGAGCACCTGCTAGATTCCCAGGAATTCACGAGCAAGCCCCTCCACTCCATTCTGCATGTACTTGGGTATGCTCTCCACTTCTTATCTTGCTCTTGCAGATTCCTGTGCAGAGCTGAGCCAGCGTGGGTGGCAGCAAGATGCAGCGAAGAACGTCGGAAGGCTTCCCAGAGCAGCCTCGCCTTCGCGTCCACGCGGGCTTCCGACTGCTGCAAAGCGAAGTCAACACCTGGCAACCGGATTCTCTTCTACAGTCGAGTTCATGACTGAGTGCCATGTAGTGCCATGACCTCTTGCGGCAGCAAATCATTCAAACCTGACCTGAATCCTTAGCCTGAACAGTAACACATGTGCAACGCTCCAAACTCAGCTGGAAGCACCAAGGATTTCCCACGAATTCGGCGGGTCAGTAGGCCTGCGAAACTTCGTGCTTGTGCAGGCTCACAGTGCGGGGTGTTAACTTAGTTAACTATGACAAGTCGGGGTTGATGCCGACTTGAATTACAAACGTCAGATTGAGAGTGACGGCCTTTCACCTTCGACACCTGCCTCAACGCCAACAGATATCGAGTCTTTCGCTATGCCCGCGCTTCAAACCTACCCTCCATAGCGAATGGAGCTGGTGTATACTGAAATATTGCTGACATCATCAAACCCTGCTAAAAACTACAAACGCTGCCCCCACTCCGCACCAGGTCAGCCGTCCGCCAGTGGCAGCCCAGAAAGCCTCCAAGACTACCGCAAGGCCTGTCCGGGCGTTGCTTTGAATTGTATTCTTTGCTGCATGCCGTTGCTTCAAGCGTTGGGGTTTCGAGGGCGGGTTTCCCTACACTTCTCTGAACAAGGGAACCGCTGCGAGTGCAAGTCGTGATGTCCTCCCACCTTCCGAGTTTTTAGAAAGTGGCCTCGATGGCTAGCCTTCCGAATGTCTACAATGCAGACTTCCGCAAAATCTTGCTAGGCGGTCCATCCATCCACACTTACTTGCCTGCCAGACGTGGTGGTGGTTTCGTCTACGAAACTGTCGACAGAGGCCGATGCAATGCGAACTGTTTGGCAACGCCTGCCTTGTCGGACCTCGGATAGGTAGCTCAAGCACGAAAGCACACCAACAGCTGATTCATGGGATTTTGCCTTCGGAGCTCAGGCTGGGCAACGATACTTTTGTTCAGCAATGCAGCCATTCATCTCATGCATTGCTCGTGCAAAAGATCTGCGCAGGTGTTGGATAACATTCGAATACGCTGTAGACTTCCATGTGTTCGCAGTCAGGTGTGCCGTTCTCATCAGTCGTGGAATTGACTTGTACTGCATCCAAGGTTCCTGCTGGTGGATGTGCTTCCAGAGCTCTTCTGCCGCTCTGTCACCAAATTGGTCCACCAGCTCTTGGTACGGAAGATCCTGACTTTCAGGTGTTGTCACTGTGACCTTACAGATGCCTGGATCGCCACCTTCCAGTTCCCACTTGCTCCCTCCAAGCACTTTCATTCCCAAACTGTCCCTCGAGGCGCCTCACGCTGCTGGGACGGTCCGCTCAGAATCCATCCCTCAGGAAGAGGCACTGTGCCCCATTTGAAGAGCAGGTTTCTATCCCACAGGACCTTGGTCAGGCATGCTGTCTTGTGGCTGGTATGCACGTTCCGCTAGCGGCTACTGTAGCAGCGTGTGGCCGCATCTCATGCTGGCAGGGTGCGATCAGAGGCTCAGCAGATGCAATCCTGAGAGGCATCGATGGCAGCAGATGCATCAAGCTGACTGGCTTAGGAGATGGCCTCATGTGGGGATTCAACCCTGTGAGGCCTGAAGGCCTTCGGCCTCCCAATCTCTAAACTTTCAGTGCCGACTGCTCTGCCGACTTCGAGTGAGCTGCTAGTGAGGTGCTAGTGCTGCCCCGGCTCAGCAAGTGTGCCCGAAGCTCCAGCTTTCGATTCTTCAGTTGCCAGCTTCGGACAAACCTCAAAGGCCACTCCACAGGAATTGTGCAGTTATCACCACCAGAGGTCCGAGAGTTGAGGCTCTATCGACTATTTCGGACTGATGCACAAAAACACGACAGCGTCGTGGCCAACTGTGTTCTTTTTTTGATTGCTGCCTCCCTCATAGCCCTTCAGACAGTTCTGGCCTTGCGCTAAGGTTTTTCAGGAGCTCTTTAGAATTTTGCTGCAGCACACCATCAATCCCATTCGCTTGCTTGCTTCTGGCTGCCGCCCAGGTGACTGCTGCACGAGGACTGTTTCCTGAGTAATTATGTACTCGCGTGTGCGGCCACCCAAAAGCAGAACCGCCCATGGTGCCACTTGTCCAAGCCATCTTGCCAGCACGTCGGTTCAATCTCAATGGGGGGGGTTCCGGGTGTTCCGGCGGGCAAAGCTGGAAAAGACTGAAAGGCTTCGAACCTCAGGCAGAATCGAGCTGTTGCTGCAGCTGAGGTGCCAATCGCTTGGACTCTGCGCTGCCTCCTGCATGGTGTATCTGATGAATCTGCCGCACTTCAACCAATAGGCCCTCAATAGGCCATTAGGCTCGCTTGACCGGTTCAACCTTAGACCAGGCCGCTGCCGGGCTGGTACTTCCCTACCAAATTCAAACATCCACACACTGCGCCCGACATTCCCGACCTTCATCGAGTCCGGCCAGAGTTGCTGGAAAGCTTTCCTGGCAAAGGGTCGGCCTCAGAGCATGTGCAACACGTTTTCATTTCCCCGGCGCACAAAAAGAGCTGGAGACTATGTGCAACTACCTGAGAGTGAGAGATGACTTCATTTCTCAACTGTCGACCAAGTCGCGTGAGCTCCATGTGTCCACTCAGGTTCCAAAGTGTAGTTCCGACGCCAAAGGCCTCAGCATAGGAAAGCCGCCCCACACAGTACCAGTACCGTATACATTCGTTTGCTCTGCGCGGCTGCCTTGTGCAAAGTTGGTGCTTGCTCACTGCTTTGCACCCTTCAAGAATCCAAGCCGAGAATCCATGTCAACGGGCTTCACCACAAGCTGGCGATGACCTGCAACCGATACTAGCAGCCAGTGAAGGCACCGTATCGGCATTTCTTCTCTGAACGACCTCCTCTGCCTAAGACACCGAGCAGGGCCTCGTGGCCAATGCATCACCTCCGTGCAGATGGCATCGAGGCTGCTTGCTCTCGATGCATTTGTAACCACCCAGGTCTGGACCAAGACTTCGGACCTCATCTGCACGTTCACTCTCGGGCTCGCAGAGTTGAATGGGTAAGCACTCAGCAAAACCTGCAGGCTCATCTACGGTATGCCTTCCACAGTGAGACCTGCAAGGTTAGCTAAGCACCAAGTGGCCCTGCAATATGGCACGAATCTTCGAAGGAGCCTCCCCAAACAGGACAGACACCCTCATCAGTGCAGGCCGCAGTCAAAAGCTATGTCTAGCATGTGGTCTCACGCTGGAGCTTTGCTGCCTTGGATGTTCTTGGACAACTGATGTGACCGAGAGATACTGAGACGTTGTTTAGGGTTTTAAGGCTTTAAGGCTTGTGGACGCGTGCGTGGGCCTGAAAGCGACGTTCGTGCTGCATTTCTGCAAGCCAGAAGTTACATCAAACGACTGCGGACGAGCCTGTCCAGTTGGAGACCACCTGCCCAGGAAAGCTTCACTTGGGAAATTTGACAGCCTCTCTAACCACACAGCGCTTGCTTCCCTTACGTGAAACCCAGAACATCCTGACATCATGATTCGTACGAGTGATGTGCATGTCCTATACATAATAGATGCAGATGGTCCATAGACTGGAGTCCCATAGACGGGAGTGCCTGGTAAAGGAACCGTTTGTTCTCCAGGATGCGTAGCTTCAGCAGAGATCCCCGAGGCACGATCCCGTCGATGATCTCCGAACGCCGTGGCACGCCCTGGTTGGAGGAGCCAAAGTGGAAAACGTTGATTTTACTGGCAGCATCTTTTATGCCCCGTGTGGATTGAAGAAGGGTTGAACTGCAGGCCACTTCCCGCCTGCTGGTCAGATTGCTGGCGCTCCTGGCATGCACTTTGCTGTCAGGGAGTTTGGTCAAGTGTCTGCAGCAGGCAGCAGTTCGAAGAGAGCTATTCTGAGAGGTCGGCGCAACGAATCAACACCCTTGGCTCGGCTGATTTGATCGTCTGTACCGGGCAGAAGATGACAACCCCTGCCTGGGCCGTGCTCCGGATCTCCTCGGCTAAGCCTTCCCAGGCCCCAGGTTTGGCAGCCGCTGCGAGGCCCAACAGCTGGAACCTTCGCTGGAGTTGACTCTATGCGTAATAGTATGATACATGCAGACATATACATGCACATATCATGTGTGTGTGTGTATGTACGAGTATGTACGAGTATTTGAATCTAGTGTATGTTTAGTGAGCTGTATGAAGACACGTACTCTCACACATAACATGATGCTCGAACAAAGTTTGGGGGCATCGGAGTGCACCCCTTCCAAAATGTCGCTCCCCAGGTTGGCGGGCTTGAAGCATCCGGCTCTGAGCAACGCGCCGCGAGAGGCTTCGGTTTGGTTAGAAGTTGGGGTTTGGCAGCTGCAATGCATGTAACATTACTGTACAATCGTGGACACTGACAAAGAAAAGACGTACATATTCACGTACACGCCCACACACACCATACATATATGTTTTTCTATTTCAACCTACATACAAATATATTGTGTATCTACCTAGATCTGTACAATATTTGCATGCAGATACACCTTATCAACTGCTGTAGATTGCAGCTAGTTTATAGGCCTTGGCTCGTTTCTGCCACTTGCCCCGCAAAAAAAGCCCTGCTGCGCCAGTCTTTCTCTGATTTGTATGGTAATTCAGCATCGCACCAACCACGCTCAGAAAAGAACAGCAGTCGAGTAGCTGCAGCTCGTCTGCGCAGGATGCCTGCGTACTGCAACGTTGTGAAAGTGACGGTGATTGGTTGCATCCCGAATTACAACTCTTGAGAGCACCTGGCCTTCGGCTGATGCTCACCTCGGCAAGCACACACCTGCAGCGGTAGCACTGAGAGGCAAGAAGGACCCATAAAGGCAGAAATAGGCAGAACAGGAAGTTAAGAAACTCGAGGGCCCATGTGAACATCGCAGCGGAGGACAGCAACACGCTCGTACGCATGCTCTACACACTAATCATAAGACCTTCCACGACCCTCCGCACCATCCTGTCTTATATTTCCAGCGCCAAACTACCGCACGCGCCCGGAAATCCGAAGACATATGCTCTCAAGGAGGACCACCTCGCTGAGCAGCTCCCGCAGCTCCCCAGGCGATGTCGGCGGTGCAGCAAAGGCCCTAGGAGGTTCGGGCCGCAGCTCCTGCTGCGACTGAGGGGGTTGTGATTTGAGGTTTAGGAAGGAAAAGAGGTTGAGGGCTAGGTCTTAGAGAGGCCAGGGAGGTTTCGGACATGAAGTGCCAGCTCAAATACAACCTTTCGCAGCATTTGCAACTCCTGCCATGATGCCACGCGCGAGTCCACTGCAAGCGCCTCAAGTAGGCGCCTTTCTGAAGCCTCGGGAGCGAGGTTCGGATCTCTGGGCATTGTGTAAGACCTGAGAGGTCTGTGGCAAGGGGCTTCTTAGCGGTATGGAAACCCGGTTGTGGTTTGAACTTCATGATTGCAAACCGTGCTTTTTTCATGCCTTACTAGGTTACTGGCACACGCCAAACTGCACGTGCTAGTTGACAATCTTTTGTGGACATGGCCGCGGGCTTCGGGGATTCTCACGCGTTGTGGCTTTCATTGTCCCAGGCTTGGCATTGTCGTACGTGACACCCCGCGCTTTCGTAGGCATTCCAAGGGCACGCGGCATGGCTCTCGTTTTGGTTCGCTCGCACTTAGCATGAGCTGCGCACAGTGGGCAGAAAAGAACCTAACAAACGTTGAACACGAAGCTTTGTTGCGAGTTCCACTGGGCCATACAGCACACCCCTTGATTCAGCGAAAGCCCTCTAAGCCTTGCCCAGGTACGACCAAATCCCCGCGCCTCCAGAGAACCACCTGGGAAAGCTGTGGTTTTCATCGCTGCTGGGATTCTGGGCTCTGGGCTTGGTCAAACTTTGCACCTGGATGTAGCATTCATCTTGCCCACTGTTGTGACCCTCCTTGTCACCTTCGCGAGGCAAGCCGCCGAGAGTGTGTACAGCAGGTAGGCATCCGGGACATCTGTCAGGCCCCGCGTTAGATACTGCTCCGCCTCTGCGTACCTTGGTTCAGGGTGTGGGCATGGGGTGTATCCCAGTCATTTGGGAGAGGTGATTTCATGCCTGATACGGTAGCTGATAGCCTTTTCTGCTGGCATTGCGCACATGGTGAGGAAGGCCCATGGCTGTTGACGTGCTCAACACTAGACAATATGCTCTCGGCAGCACTTACACCCTTAAATTGTGCCCTGCACATTCAAGCTGTGAAGACGTGTGTAGCATCACAACCAGAATTCTCAACCGCAAACCCCCTCAGCCGCCAGGAGCTCCCCAAGACTTACTTACCCGAATCCCAAGCAATAAGCCACCTTAACCTGCAAGCGACGACTACACACGCGACTGCTTCTACAACAGCCACTTCGTGCTACTTGTTTTTCGTATCTTGCAACGTTCGAAGATGCCACTAATCTAATCAACTGCGGTCGTTCAAAACGCTTTCGTCTACTTGGGGGGCAGGGAGGGCCTCCCGAGCTGCGCCAAAAGCGCCCCGAAGTCACCGGCAGCCTGGGGAAGCAACTCCGGCCTCGGGGATGCGGCATTGTTTTGGGCTGCTGGTCGCACTTCTGGAACGCAGGGACCTACGTCTGGAGCCTCTGGACTGGAAGCACCATGGACGCTTATGCAGCGAAGGGTTTAGGGTTTCAGGGTTTCAGGGTTTAAAGGTTTAAGGGTTAGTCTTGAGGGCTTCGGGTTTGCCCAGTTGCACAGATGAAGCTGATCGGCAAGTCTACTCAGTAGGCTCGAAGCCGGAGCCGCAAAGCTTCAGCATAGTGCTGCACTGCTGCTTTGGGGTCCTGCAGGGGCCATCGGCTACCTCCCAAAATATCCCAAATGCCCCTGACCTGCGTGTTGCTATGGGCTACACCGCCTTATATGTTTCCGGCTGTGCCATCCGCATGATGTGCAGGAATGAGACATGAGACCACTTGTCCCACAATCCAAAATTGCAAGATTGCATGTTGCACGAGACATGAGCCCACATCACTCTCAAAGAGCCCCGCGCCTGCAGCTCCTTGGCTGAACACTCAAGCATTGTCATTGCAGGGGAACCCTCCGCAACAGGATTTGCCCAAGCTTTACGCAGGCCTCTACAAGTACCGGTTGATAAGCGACACAGAAGTAATCCAAAACATACATGCGTACATCCGGTGTAGTTGCTACTCGAACCTCAACTTGGAGCAAGTCACCTGGGACAGTACCGCCAGGTTGAATCGCAGCGATGCATCGTCGGGTCTCACGCGCAGGGCAGCCTTCGAGCTCTCTGAGGGGAATGGGGCCCCCTTGTGAAGCCTCAGCCGAGGGTAAAGACGCAAACGCAATATCGTTAAGCCTGAACTGTTGAACTGGTGTCTTTGCACTTCTCTGAACCCGAATTAAATCCAAACCAAGAGCATCAGAGCTTGAGGGAAGAATGAGGCAATTGACCAGCCAAGATGGAACGTTTACAAAAAAATCACATCCTGTCCCACTGCCTCGTAGATTTTCGCAGACTCCACTACGGCCCCGCGGTCATAGAGGCTGCTTCCGAGCTTCTTTGCGCATTGACTTTTCTTGGCTTTTCACATTGGACTCCTGCGTCTACACACACACACTCATATCTTACATGTATGTGTAGGCAAAGGGGAAGGGTATCATATCCTTCACATGCGCAGGATCGTGCTTTTGGCTTCATGGTTCTGCTCCGAGCTGCTGGGATTATTCTGAAATGCAACTAGCATGCCGGCATACCTGGTCCCGTAACTGACAGTCTGATTTTTGCTTGGGTGGTCTGGTCCAAGAATGGAATGGAGTGTATGTGGCAGATGCCAAAATTGCAAAAGCTAGCGTCTTGTAAAGGTCGACGCGCGCTGGATCAGCGTGAATTCCGTTGATGTACTCGATCTGTGCCAAAAAGGCCAAAGGCAGGT